AAAAATAAAACAAATAAGTTTAGTCGCGCAAGAGTCTGAAAAAAATGATTTCATGTTGCGTTATTCATCGCTTCGTAAGCTTCATCGAATAACTGCATGGTGTAAGCGGTTTTGCAATAATTCCCGTAAAATAAAGGAAAATCGCACTATTGGAAATCTTGATGTTAATGAACTTCAGGAATCGTTTTTAACTTTACTTCGTTTAGTTCAGAGTCAGGTATTTTTTAAGGAAATCGAAGCAATTAATAAGGGAAACCGAATTTCCAACAAGAGTAAATTAAAATCTTTGGATCCGTTTATGGACAACGATAAAATATTAAGAGTAGGGGGCAGGTTAAGCAAGTCTCAGTTGGAGTTTGATCGTAAATTTCCAATTGTACTACCCTATCGACATTATTTTACTTATCTTGTAATCAAACACGAACACTATAGGCAGTTACATGCAGGTCCCCAGGCTATTTTAGCAGCGGTCAGGCAACGGTTTTGGCCAATTAACGGTCGTAGGGCTATACGCAGTGCGCTCGCGAAATGTGTTTTATGCTTTCGAGCTAATCCTGTGTCTTTAAGCCAAAAAATGGGCGATTTACCAAGAGATAGAACAGTAGGTTTTAGGCCATTCTATGTATCTGGCACCGATTTTGCTGGTCCATTTTTGTTAAAGGAAGGTAAACCTCGTAGTAAAGTAGTGCTAAAGGCATATATGTGTATTTTTGTTTGTTTCAGCACAAAAGCGGTGCATATAGAGTTAGTTAGTAATTTAACAAGTGAAGCATTTTTGAATGCACTTAAAAGATTTGTAGCCCGTAGGGGATTGGTTAAAAAACTATATTCTGATAACGGTTCTAATTATATTGGAGCCTATAATGTATTAAATGATAAGTCTCGGTTTATTAAGGGGATCAACACAGATACTAAGTTTATAAGTTTTTGTAATGATAATGATATTGAATGGTCATTTATACCTCCAAGGTCTCCTCATCAAGGAGGAATTTGGGAAGGTGTAATCAAAAGTGCTAAGTATCATGTAACGCGTATTGTTGGTAATACACTTCTTACTTTTGAAGAAATGTCTACGATTTTTACTCAAATTGAATCTATCCTGAATTCACGTCCCCTCACTGAGATTTCCTCGAACCCAAATGATTTTTTCCCATTAACCCCTGGCCATTTCCTTATTGGTGCACCACTTACTTCAATCCCCGAGTTGAACGTGCAAGAAGTTCCTGATAATCGTCTTTCAAGATATGAGCTGCTTCAAAAGCTTCAACAGCATTTCTGGACCAGGTGGTCTCGAGAATATCTTTCCAATTTGCAAAGTCGTTCAAAATGGAATCAAGTACATCATAATGTAAAAATCGGAACTTTAGTGATCCTGAAGGAAGAAAATCTAGCTCCGCTCCAGTGGCGCATGGGCCGCATCACTGAATTACATCCTGGGAAGGATGGTATTGTGAGGGTAGTTACCTTACGTACTTCGACTGGAACATTTAAACGTGCTGTGCAAAAGTTGTGTGTCTTGCCAATTGAGCAATAAGTGTTGACTCTGCGAATTTTCTTATTCTAAGGTTTCAGTTTTTTTTTATTTTATTTGTTGATTTAAACTAATTATGTATATGCTAGTTTTAACTGTTCACTTTAAGTTTGTTACTTAATTTTGAAGGCTACTCCTTCAAGGCCGGCGGCTATGTTTAATGTTAATACGCCTCTCGGCTCAGTAGCCATTTCCAATTTTAAATATTGCCGCTATTTCCCGGCGAATGCGCGAATAAAAATTGTTACCAGCGGTGATCTGAGAGAACAAAAAAGTCTCTCTCTAGCGAAACACGTTTTGTATGCAAAGGCAATTGTAAATTGTTTTTTGATGTATTTAAAGCAAATAAAGTGTTATGAAACAAAAATGGAAGAATAATTATTACCAGTAAAAAGTTGATACAGTCCACAGAGCCAAGAATAAACGAGTTACGCTTGGAAAATAATGAAAACTTTCGTTTTGATTTTGAGATGCAACACGCAACTTTAACACAATATAGATTGCAATTTGAGTGCTTTTTCGCAAATTTACTTTTTAATATAAACACTATCACACACTATAAGAAATAAACAACTTGTATGCTCATAAATAAGAAAAAATTTGAATTGGTACAAATTAAACAGCGAATATGACGCCAATGATGAACTGACAAAAAAATGATAATTGAACTGCTGAAGATTAAAGAAAAAAATAATAGGTTTGTTCCAACAGCTCCTTTCTGATGTTACTCTGACTCCTGCATGGATGCATTCCTCAACTAATCACTGCGCATGTCAGTCCATTTATTCGTCCGTTGTTTAATCAGTGACCTGTACTTGTTGGAATGCAAAATGCAATGGAATTGGACAAACCAAACACATGTTTGGTGAATTTGTATTTTAAACATTATTTAAAATACAACAAAATACATTTATTTAGCTGTCTCGAACGCTCTATGTGAGTGTATAATTTTGAAACATTAATATGTTTATTTTTATTAAATATAGGTACGCATTTTACATAAAAAAAACCGTACACAAGATAAAAACAAAAATTATTCATTTCAATTGAAAAACAGAAACCCAAGCTACTCCAAGCTAACGTAAAATCACAACAATTACAAAAAAATAGCACAAACGAGAAGAGACGTTCAAATGCGCATGTGCTGATTAATTGTACAAGCGATGAAGCTCTGATCGTATTGACAATCCGCCGACTCATTCATGTACAAATCAGAAAATACGTTAGAACGTTTTACTGACAGTACATCGGATTATCCGCGGCTTTGTAGGAACGGACTATTTTCAATGCGCATGCGTCTAACGTCCTTCTGATGATCAGATTCGCTGTTGGAACAAACCTAATATAATTAAATCGGTATAAAAAGCCTTAAATAAATATAGATAGAGTATAATTACATAATGGTAGACACAAATTTGGATACTTAAAAAAAGTCTTTCCACTGCTAAAAGGTGGAAAAGGCTATTGAAAAACAGGATTTTAAACGCGGACATAATTAAAATTAGACATATCACCAAATCGTTCACTCACTTCGTAAACATAACAAATGATTACAGTCAAATATTACCGGCCTGGTAAGGAGTTGACTGATTTAACCTTCAAGATGACGAACATCTACAGGATGCAGACCCATCGAACACCTGCCTGGATCTAACGATTGTCGGTAGATCCGACGAAGAAATTACTTTCTTTGTTTAATTGAGAATGAAGACGTAAACTGTATAGTGTAAATAAAGATTTTATAATAAGTAAGTGTAACACTGACGTAGCGGAATTCCGCTACTTTTGGCACCACTCGAAAAAAGGTTAGCTTGAAACGCGGATTGGTAAAATATTATGTGGTTATGTATTGAGTTTGTACTAATACGAAGATGATTTCTGAATTTATAAAGGCGGACTCCAACAGCGCGTGGATCGGCTAATCACGAGCCCAGCCCGCCAAACTCCGCGCAATGGAAATGGGATGGCGCGTCATTTCTGGCGCGGCTTGGTCTTTCCGCGTGTTGTCAGTAAATTTGAGGCGAGTCAAATGAAGTCTAGGATTGCCAAGTTTTGTAGATCTCGAGCCGGAACTCATACGTCGTGGGATCAAATTCACTTGCTCGCAAAACCACGTACCATGGGAATCCGCCTTAGATAAAAAGCTGATGGAAAAATGCTGCACCCTAATAAAAGATGTTTCCAAACATGAGATATTTTTAATGATGGTTCAGGTCAAAAGGTCCAACAAAATGTTTGAAATTTTGGCCATGTACATAAACAAAATTGTAAACTACAACTATTTTATTGAAAAAAATCTAACTTTGTTATTTAAGTTATTTCACATAAAAATAGTTGGCTCCAGATACCCAACCCTAACCGAGCCTGCAGAGCCGAACTCATATCTATTTTTTTTGTAAACTTTACCATTTTAAGTCTTTTTGTTTCCTTATCACTTCTGTAAGCATTTGTATTGTAATTATTCATACTTTTTTGTAAAAATCAACTAAAACGGTTCAAAAGTCAAAGATTCTAAAAAGTAAAGTTAGGAACATTGATTTAACATTTTAACCTTTCAGTAGAAGTTAATATTTCATAATTAACTTTAATTTGGAACCTTATCTACCATTGTGAAACACTTATTTCCACATAACCCACTATGTAACTTGAGATTGTGAAACTGGATTCAATAAAATAAGGTTAAATTTCTTTCAGCAGGTTGCAAGAACGTTCATCAGGATTTATAAGCCTGATAAATTTCTACAGATATTTGGATTGTAATTTGAAGTTTATGTCATTTAGCAGATTATATTCTCAAGATTTGTTCAAATGCCCACAAAAAATTCCAACGATCCCTATCTAAAGTAGGCTTTTGCACATTCAAATCTAACTGGACGGTTAATGTTTTCCGTAATTTGACATTATTGACACTCTAGAGCTCCAAAGTTATAACCTGTATACCTGAGATGTCTCGACAAAGTAGCACGTTCTGCTCTTAATATATAAATAGATATAATGATCGTTCTTGCAACTACGTTTTTTTTTGTCTTTAGGTTTCAAGAATGCACCCGTTTTACAAGAGCATACAAAAAAGTAACTCCTCAAAATTTGCAAACATGTAAAAATATTGATGTCAGCGGGATTTTTAAAAATGTTGAGACAGCTTGCGAATTTGCGTAGTCAAAAACTGAGAGAGAACTTTTTTCTTTGACTATGCATTGTGATTTACCGACTTGAAAGATGAAAGTACTGATCACCCAAGCCATTTGGATATTTTTTTTTAATAGATTTATGCGTTAATGTTGCGGTGCAGTCTATTTATAATATATTTTTAATTTTCATAATATTAAAATGTAAAATGAACGTTTCTTAAAGTGTCTAGATCTATTAAGAAATATTCCTATCGTCAAAACTATTGGAAACATAACAAAAGAACAGTACCTATATTTGGATATGTTTAAGTCTGAATGAATTGCACCAAAAATCACAATTATTGTCCATATTGTTCTATAGGGCAATTGTCTGATATATTCATGTCTACTTTCCGTTTTACAGCGAAACCCATAGATCCTAGTGTTTCTCCCACGTCCATGGCTCCATTTGCATTTTTTAGTTGTACTTTCAGGGGAGGATACGAAGACCTTGAAATTAATGGAATATTAAAATAAAATATATCATTTGGTTGTAGCATACAAACTTACATTGTAATGGCAGTAAAATTGTGAAAATACAAGTTTTTATGAAAAAACGCGCTAGCTTCAGTCTTTGAACACTTTTCATTCATTTCATAATTGTGGATGTAACATTCAACAGCCTAAAATAAATCAAAAATATAAATAATGATACATTTTTTACTGATAAACAACTTTTGTGGCAAATCAAGTTAAATGATAACAGTATACTGTTTAACGAGCAAGGAATGTTACTCATTTCCTACGAGTATGATATATACAGCATGAGCTACAGGCGAATGCTGTAAAATTTAAAAGACAGCACTCACTCTTATAGATAATTATTGTTTGATTTTTCAAGATACATACAGCGAGCATCATAAGTCTTACCCCCCTAACTAACTCGTTACTGGAGTCTTGTTAGAAAAATCGTCGAGACACGTCGATTTTTGATTTCTACAATGTACATTTTTGTATGAATAGTTTACCCTTAATTTCATCCCTTACTGGAGGGGAGCAACCCTTTCGAAAAATTTAAATGACATGGGGTGGTGAGTGATAGCTCATTTGAAAGGGGGTTTTATTCTCTATTCAACCGTGCAAAAAATTTTGAAATTTGCTTCATTACGTGTTGATTTATTAATGTTTAAAAATAACAAAACATCACAATTATTAGGAAAGCAACTAAACTAACAGTGACCTTATCTAATGGCAAAAAGTCTTACTTCACGTCTGAATCAAAACCGATATCATGCAGGGCCGAATTTTAATTCTAAGGATGAGTGCGCTACGTTAATTTCCGTTATTCTGAAACAATAATTAGTCGAGAATTAATGTAGCAAATTTCAAATTTTTTTGGACGGTTGAATAGAGAATAAAACCCCCTTTCAAATGTGCTATCACTCACCACCTTATGCCATTTAAATTTTTCGAAAGGGTTGCTCCCCTCAAGTAAGGGATGAAATTAAGGGTAAACTATTCATACAAAAATGTACATTGTAGAAATCAAAAATCGACGTGTCTCGTCGATTTTCCTAACAAGACTCCAGTAACGAGTTAGATAGGGGGGGGGGGTAAGACTTATGATGCGCACTGTATATATTTTAAATAAATAGAGAATTACTATTTTGTGTTATCAGATAAGAGTCTGATATGGAAGAGGATACTTTGTGTTATCATAATTATCAAATAATTTTGTAATCAACAATATTTGGCACTGAATACATTGAAGTATAACTCTTGCAAAATTACATTAAAAAGAGTGGATAATATCGGTGATCTCCGGTCAATGTAATGGGGCCTTTTCGAGAACCAGATTTTCACAAATGGAGTGGTCAGTCTATTTTAATAGCTATTTATGAAACCAGTTGCGAAATACTTCATTTTCTAATTTTGACTAGATTATTTATAAAATCGTGTTTTGGTAAAAAATTACTGACATCTAGGCAAACAATATTACTACTTTATTGTATTGTTAGAATATGATTAACTTCATTATTTTATTGACAAATAGAAAATAATATTAATTTATTCTCAACGACTTGTAATGTGTTTATATTGTTTGTTGGTATCTGTATCTGTAACGTGTGGAGGGTGAGTTATCCCCACGGAACTTAGGCCTCATTAGGCCCATTTTGCATCCTCCTGAGATGATAGGCACTCCCTAGCTCGTGAGCCAGCCTACAGATTTAATGCAGTTGACATCGTCGCCAAGAGGTGCTTCTCTTATATCGGCCGGTATTAGCCGATACTCGCCGAATACAAATCTTCTAATAAATAAGAGCGTCGAGCAATCGTAAAGGATATGCTCGATGGTCTCATCTTCTTGTTCGCACCCAACAATACTTGAAACAATAATTAACAATGATTGAAATAATGATTAAAAAAATATGATTGATTAAAATAATAATTGAAATAATGATTGACAAGTACAATTCATAAAGTTGGATAAGGTCATACCAAATACATCAATATCATTATTGAAACTGGCAAGATTATTATATTATGTTTCACACATGTGGTAGATTAGAGATTTTAACATAAGATTGGTATTTCCTTGGCTAAGATAAAATAATGTTTTTAATCTAGTGTTTGTTCTTGTTCGGAATACGCAAGCATATTTTATTTAATATTTCCGAGCAATTAATTCTCTTATTTAACAACTTATATAAAAATATTAACATTAAATAAAATCTGTCCGACAGCGATGGTACATTAAGGGCCTTTCGCACCGCTTCAGAATAAATTTCCCCTTAGTAAAGGTAAACTTATTATTTGAGTATTACTTATCGTAGTTTAATTCGCACCAGCCGATTAAAAAGCAACAATTAACAATGAATTTTATTTTGAATGAAAGTTTTGGTTGTCACATGCACAGAAGAGAGAACAGCTCTCTTCAATGTCACAGGGCTATTTAAAAAAATTAGATGAACTAAGAAGTAAAAAAATAGATCACGAGATACAGCCATAATGAGAGTAAAATCAGTATTAATTCAATAAGTTAATATAAAAAAAAATTATCGAAATCATACCAACGTTGGAAGATGAGAATGAGGTATACATTAAAATTAACCAATACTACCAAGAGTTTAATGCTAATTTTACGAAAACTATTCGCAGAAAGAAACACTCTTTTAAAAACGGTTATATTTATTTGTCTATTAAAATATTTGAGTTTGAAACGTACATATTTATTTTAAGGATACTATAAACTTGTTTCAATTTCAACAAGGATATTGAGAAGTTTCTTCGGCCAACCTAAATCGAAGTGTAAAAGTAATCGTTTCTCGTATATTTTATATTCTTAGTACTATCCAATATTAATGAAATCAAGTATTTTTAAAGCACTGTCATCTTCCAGTATTTCCATTTTGTGTCTTGTAATTATTTAAAAAGGCGTATTAATACTTATAATACAACTAATTTGTATAACTAGTGCTAATAAATTAATGACACAATGACAATCAAAATATTTCAAAATTATAAAAATAAACATTTTAAGGTTAAGTAATAGTTTAAGCTAAAAAATTACTGGGCTTAGTAAAGTGATTCTTAACGCCTTGATAAGTAGAACTTTAATAAAGGTTCTAACGGTTATGCCTTCTTAATATGCTAAGTAAAAGCGGTGCGCGAATGGACCTATATATACTCAATAAATGCGAGTTACTATATCCTTAGGGATCACTCTTTAACATAAGATATTTTTCGAATTTTCGTTGTATTTTTTCGAGTTGTTGGAATTGTTGTTGCATAAAAAGGATTATAAATTATCGAACAATGTTCTAGGTTTGATCTGACGTAGCTGTAATATAATAGTTTGACAGTATCGATATTTTCAAAATTTTTACAAGAACGATAAATAAAACCTAGCATTTTTGCCGCCCCAGCAGCTACATCAGCGATATGTGAGTTGTATGAAAGTTTTGAGTCAAAATTGACCCCTATATCTTTGAAATCAGTTAGACGGTTGGTACTAATATTTTGTATTTTATAATCAAACAATATTGGAGTATTTTTAAGAATAAATGTAACGATATTACATTTACTTATGTTTAGAGGCAGCCTATTGTTATTACACCAATGATTAAGTACATCAATGTCGGATTGCAGTTGATAACAGTCATCAATTGAGTTAACTACAATATAATATTTAAGTCATCAGTAAAGAGAAGGGATTTACTAGATATATTGCGTAATATCGTTAATAAAGAGAGAAGATAAAAGTGGTGCAAGGTTGCTTCCCGGAGGAGCCCCACTGGTTGATTTAAAAGACTACGATTTGTATCCATTAATTTCTACATTCTGATATATATCGCTGAGATATGAGGATACAAGTGTAACTAAGTTATGATCGAATCCAATATTTTTAAGTTTATGTACTAACAATGTATGGTCGAGTCTATCAAATGCCTTTGAAAAGTCTGTGTAAATCGTATCTACCTGTTTGTGGTTGTCAAAAGACTCTAACGCAAATTGTGTACAACATGTTAAGTTGGTAGCAGTGCTTCTGGTTGCAAAAAATCCGTGTTGTGAAGGGTTTATTAAACTTTTTACCTGTGGAATAATAGTACATAATATGAAAAAGGCACAGGAAAGTTAGATGATGATAGAATAAAATATTTAATATTAGAAAACTTCGAACTGATACGAATGTCGACGAGCGCACCTGGAACTAATAAATTCGCCAATTTGCTGCCAGTAAATATTTTCAACACTCAAAATATTTTCAACACTCTGCCTTTGATTTTGCCCACTAAGGTGAAAGTCATCCTTATTAGGACTTTTTAGGACTCTTCAGAAATAAATGAAAATTCTCGACTCCAGTCTCTAATGAAGTGATTAGGACACACATTTCGATCGAACTCAATTACGGCGGGTAGAGCATGAGTAGATGCGATAGCGGTATCGCTATCTATACTTAGTAAGCAGAATCAAAAAACATCTAGTGGATATCCACGATGGTTTGCGTTCGCGCCTAGACTTTGATATATTTAGTGGATGTTCATGGGATATTGAATACACCTTAAAAAATTAATTTTAAATATCTGAACGGTACTATTAGCCACAATGGCGAGCACAATGGCGTAATTTTTTAATAATTTGCTATATAATTACTATTATTTATGGACATTTGCATGTCTATAAATTACATTTCATGGATATAAAATAGATATCTACCATGGACTGGACATTCAGTGGATATTGTTCAGTAGATATCCAAAGGATTTGGTGTGCTGTCTGGGAAGAGACACATTCGTTTTTAAAAAAAATACAAAAATTTAAATTTCAACGTCCTGTGTATCAAAAACTAGATAGAATTGAGTTATGCCCATGGCAACATATCAAAAATTCAGGAAATTTCACCGAAATTTCTCCATACGGCTGCCTGGTCATTTTTCATAAATATATTTTCCAATATCTAAACAAAATACATAAACGCACGCACTTCTACCACTTTTTAAACCAAGTTTCATCATGTTTAACAGTTTAAGGAAATAAACATAATATGCATAAACCACAAAAAATTCAAAACTCGTCAACGGGAAAAATAAAAAAATAAAAAAAAAACGCAGAAATACGGTTTAATAAATTTGGCATCGATCGAGAGGAATCCAAAACAATGCACGGACAATTATCGCAAAGTCGAGTTATACTTCAGCATATACAGGTAAGAAAGTGTTATGTTGTATTATGATCGTAGAAAACATAATTTGAAAGGATCAAAATAGTTTTGGGGATAACTCTCAGTCACCACAATATCATACCCATATTTAATCTTATAATTACACCGGAGATATAACCGGACATATAGCTATTTATTGATAAAATATATTTGTGACGCCAACATCGATATCACAGTCGCAAAGCATTTCGTTCAGAACAAACTAGCTGGACAAAAGTCATTATTAAACTTCAGAGAAATTATTATATAAATTAACAAACAACATAGTTTTGAATGTGGTTAATTTGTTACACCATATTGAACTAACACAGTGGATAAACAGAATCCTATAATAAAAAAAGGAAAGTGTATTATTTTATTTCTTATTTTACTTTTCTTGCACATACCACAAAACGTTGATTTGAACTACTATACCTAATATATAATAAGTGATGAATTTGGAAGATAAAGGTGAGTACTTTTTATTTTTTATAAGAAGTAGTACCTAACATTGCACACTAATTTAGAAAAATACCGAAATCTTAAACTTTCAAATTTTTGGTGATTATTTGTCTAAAAGTTCTATGCCCCCGGTCTAAAATTTTACAGGAGAGCTAAGAATATATCAAAGCGTTGCATGGAGGATATTCATAAATTTTTGCCGTTGAAGTAATTGATGACTAATACAACTTAAGAGGATTTTATTGTAGAAATTTCTCGTGGAAATTTGTTTTAAGGCATTTACTCTGTACTGCATCTTATAAACCATTTTTAAAATATATCATTGTTCTAAGGAAAAACAAAATATAGTGCTATACGTTTTTTTTTTATTATAATTTACATGATTAACCGTCCCATGTCTACTAGGAAGAAAGGGAGTAGTCAATGTCAAAATATCAATTTAGACAAAAATGTTGGTTACTTTGTTTTAACGTAGAGCAGCCGCAGCTTGGACTCTATAGTTTCTAAATATAAGAGTTCCTGTCAGCAAAATTTGGTACAATTAAAAAAAAATGTAGATTAAGTCGGCACCATATGGGAAACTTTTTGTTAGTTTTATGGAAAAAAGTTATAATGTCAAGCCCTGTTTCCATATTTGGTACAAAATACTTGATAGCCAACTTAACCTTAACTAGGTTTTGGAATTTATTAAAAATTATTACATCTAATTTAGTGAAATTACATTTAATTTAGTTAAATTTGATATACCTAACCAATGATTCAAAATTTTTTGGGTTCAGTTGCAATAAAATAGGTTGAATTATTTTAGCTTTTTTAAATCATGTAAATAACTTTGTAATCAAAACGAGAATGAAATACGCATGACAACAGTGGTTATTTTACCCTCCTGTATCCCTTAGAATATGTCTTATTTACGACAGCACGATATTTGTTTGTAGTTACATTGATTGAAAACTTTTATAATTATACTTTAGATTAAAAGGCAATAGAAACCAAAACACTTACTTGAAATGGAAGTTTTAAGAAATGTGGCTTAATTTTTCTTAATTCTTTAATTGCAACTTTAGCATATTCACCAAAATCTACAACAAACACCTGAAACGAAATATATATATTATTGATTTTTTTATTCTGCGAAAAACTTACATGTGCTACATCTTGTTTAGCATGGTCGCCCATTGTAATCTCTCTTACAATGCCTCTTGACCATTTTTTCCAATGCTTAAAAATCACTATTTCACCTATAGAGGGTGCCACTTTGAATGGTTCATACGTTTTTACAATTTTTCCAGAATTCATTTCTTCGAGTAGGAAATAAAATTCTTGATCCATTTTGTACTCTATAAAATAAAAAACAGAAAAGTCAGCTTCAAGAAAGTGAATTATTTATTTAATTTGAAAATACATTAAAGGAGGAACATTTCCCAAGTAGTGTACAAAGCTTAAACTAAAGCAAAATTAAGAATTAAATAGAAATACATTAAAAATATAAAACAATTAGGCACAAAACCAATCGCATCCATATTTGAGAGTTTTTTTAAAGGCTGGTAAGCTTATATAGAAAATGCCGAAGTCAAGGTAAAACTTATTAAAGTTTAGGCCAGGCATAGGCAACCTTTGCATAGCCGAGGGCGTAAATTCTGGACTTAATTAGGTCGCGAGCCGTAGGTAAGAAATAAGTAGGTAGTAGTGAATAAAAAAGCGACACAAAAATTTACATTTATTTATTAATTATAATAGCATAATGATTATGCTCTATCAAACATCCCAGATAGCACAGGACGTCCTAAGGACGTCCAATACATGTCCATTTAACGTCTGTACGTCCGGGACCTATTATGGACGTTTTAAGTATGTCCAGTTTAGTAAATCTTCGGGACGTCAAGAAATAGATATCCGCAAAACGTCAATTGTACGTGCTTTACTATATTTCCATGGATTCACATTCGCATTGTATTATTATTTGGTTATATTATACAAAAAACATATATAATGAGATAATATAAATAATTATTAAAGATGGTATTGTCTCAATATCCAATTGAACGAAGGCCAAATATACAAAAACGAAGAAGATCTTTTGCAAGAAAGTGACATTGTTGACAAGTGACTTTTTATTTTTATTTATTTAGTTAGATTTAGATATGATTCAGATTCAAGCACTAAAGTGAAATATTCCCAGGGCTCAGGTTTTATTAAAAAAAAGTGTTCAATGTTCATGATTCGATGGTATATACATATTATACGAGTAAAAGTTCTATCATTCCGCCATTTGTACAATTTTTATATCTGAGAAAGGTGGAAGTTTTCCAAAGCAAAAAGGTTAGTGAATTTATAATGTCTAGCAAGGCAAACTGAAACAAACAGATTGGATTTTAATTTTGATATGCCTTTTATTTTGAATAAGCTATTAAATTATTTTCAGATTCAGTTGAGAAGGCAAATATGATCAAATCAAGATATAAACAAACTGCTGTCAATCCAGGCATGGTTGAAAAGAGCAAAGTAGAGGAGTTTTCCAGTGAATACTACAAAGCTAAAAGGTTAGTGAATATATAATGTCTGCAGGGCAAACTTAAACCAACAGATTGGATTTTCATATTGATCTGCCTTTCATTTTAAATAAGGGATTAAATTATTTTCAGGTTTAACTGAGAAGGCAAATATGACCAAATCAAAAAAAAAATAACTGCTGTCAATCCAGGCATGGTTGAAAAGAACAAAGTAGAGGAGTTTTCCAGTGAATACTACAAAACTAGAAGGTTAGTGAATTCATAATGTCTAGCAGGGCAAACTTAAACAAACAGATTGAATTTTCATATTGATCTGAATTTTGAATAAGTGATTAAATTATTTTCAGGTTCAACTGGGTAGACAAATATGGCCAAATCAAAAAGAAAAAAAAACAACTGCTGTCAATCCAGGCATGATTGAAAAGAGCAAAGTAGAGGAGAGATGGGATGAATTTGACGAAAAAGTTTTAATAATTTCACTATTTATAGGTTATTTGCTTCCAAATAAATTTTTTTGAAATTATTCATTATTTTCACTAATTTTCTTACATCCTATTATTCCCCATTTGAGCTTTTGAAAATGTCCATGGAATGTCCTTAAATGGACGTTCTTAAGACATCCTGATTATTAACAATGGACGTTCCAAATACGTCCGTAAGACGTCCACGGCCATGAAATGGACGTTTTAAAGATGTCCTGAATGTCCAAGCAGGACGTTTTTAGAACGTCCATAAGACGTATTTGTGCTATCTGGGATATAAAATGCCAATGAATAAAAAAAAAGAAAATCAAATGAAAATTAATGAGAGACTTGAGTTTGAAGCTGAGAAACAAGATGATCAATATTGGGGTCAATATCACTAGTACATAGGCGCAATGTTTTCTAAATCAACATCTATAAGCCGAGTACAATGCTTATTTTTATCAATTTTCATTATTAGAAAAGCTGCTCACATTTATACGTGTTTCCAAATGTGCAAATTATTTTTCGTATGAAAACTCTCATATGTGGATACTTTTCTTTGGAAAGGTATGTTCTGAAAAATTCAATTAGTTCCACATCATCAAATTTGGACTTCAAATATGAGTCTTCTTGAAGCTCGATCAACTCCATTAAAATTGGAAAATCGATCAGTAAATTGCTCGGAGAGCAGTTTCATTTCTTCAGCATAATGATCGTATTCAATGTTTTCGTGACTAGATGTTAAATATTCAGCTATTATTTTTTAAGGCCATAAAATCTTTTTAGCATTTTACCTTTGCTTAGCCACCTTATTTTGCAATAATGTCACATCATCGTGTTCTGAAGAAAGTTAATCCAAAAACCTTTAAACTGGCGATGGTTAAGACCGTGGGATCTAATGAAATTAATGGTATTTACTACCACATCCATAACATTCTTCAATCGAATGGACTTGAAGCACATGTTTTGTTGGTGAATAATGTAATGCAAAATTATTAAATCACATTCTTGCACATTCATAGTGGTTGCTCTTTCCTTCAGAATTTCAATAAACCCTTTTTGGGCACACTGCAAACCATATTGCTCAAAAGTACTTTGCATCTTGGCAAAAATATTGCTCAAAAGTGCTTTGCATCTCGGCAAAAATATTGTTACGCAGTACCCTGCAACTATTATAGAATAGTCCAGAAATGTCTGGAAATATCATTACCCGTCAAGAATATTCTAGACGACAGTTCGAGAAGGGTCAAGCAAGCTATATAAGGATGATCCTGACGTCAGTTTTCAGTTTTATGATAGACGTTATATGTTAATGTTATCAGTTGAATCGAGTTATTGTAAAAGTTGAATTGAAATAAATTGAGATACCAAAAACCTGCGTAACATTGGTGACAGCGGTGGGATACAAAGTAGAAGTTCATGGTAAATACTAGATCCATTGAGAACGAAGCAGGCATGGATACTTCAGGCCCACCAGCATGGTTTTTAAAGATGGAAGAGGAGAAGGAAAAGTGTAGGAAGGAAGAAGACGAGGAAAAGGAAAGGCGTAGGAAGAAAGAAGAGGAGGATGACGAAGACGGAATCACCCTTGAAAGTCTATAAAAGACTCAAAAGAAAGACAATGACGAAGGTTAAAAATGGAGTCAGACCTACATGGCAGGAGATATCCAAATATAGTGGAACCATTAAAGGGTACTGAACTCAGTGGGATTCCCTGTATTTTCACGATGGCCTATTGTACCGGAAGTGGGAAAGCCCCGATGGAGTACTTGTAGTCCGCCAAGTGACACTGCCGAAATCACAGATGAAAAGTGTGTTGGAGGAGCTTCATAGCAGCCGTTCAGGAGGACACTTTGGTACTAAAAGGACACTTGCACGAGTTCGGGAAAGATTTTATTGAGTCAATTGCCGACGGGATGTAGAAGATTGGTGCAAGGAATGTGACCTTTGTAATGGCATAAAAGGGCCCAAAATAAGAAGTCTAGGTAAAATATCACGGTACCTTTCCGGAGAGCCTTTCGAACGAATCGCCATAGATATCCTCGGACCACTTCCCTTAACAGAAAAGGGAAACAAATACTTAATGGTTGTTATGGACTATTTTTCAAAATGGCCCGAAATAGTGCCTATTCCTAATCAGGAAGCGACGACAGTAGTAGAAGCCTTTATGACGAACGTCATTGCGAGACACGGAGTCCCCCTGGAATTACATTCTGACCAAGAACGAAATTTTGAATCCGAATTATGGCAAAAATTAATGAAACTGTTAGGTATCAGGAAAACCCGCACTACGCCTCTCCACCCACAGTCCGACTGAATGGTAGAAAGACATAACAGAACAATATGCCAGTATCTTTCAATGTTCGTCTCTGATAATCAAAAGGACTGGGACACTTTAATTCCTCTATTTCTGCTAGCCTACCGAAGTTCTGAACATGAAACGACCAGTTATACTCCATCCATGATGATTACTGGAAGGGAGATGAAACTTCCCCACGATCTTCTTTTTGGAAGGCAGCCTCCTGGTGAAGAAGAGGGCCGTACACCTCCCACGTACATACAGAACCTAAGAGAAAGATTAGAGAAGGTATACGAATTCGCTCGGCAACGTTTAAAAGTTAGTAGCGATTAAGCAAAAGCTAGAATCGACATGCATGCCACAGGGACACATTTAAAGAGAGACGATCCAGTATGGCTGTACAATCCCAAGCGCCGAAAAGGACTTTGTTAGAAATTGCAACGGAACTGGGAAGGCCCCTACACCGTCCTCAAGAAAATTAACGACCTGATCTACCGCATTCAGTTGTCAGCGAGCAGTAAACCCAAGATAGTTCACGTTGAAAAGTTAACGCCATATCGTGGTCCAGATCCTCCCCATTGGCTCCAACCAGGTCCCAGTAATCAAGTTATTCGGGGCGAATAACTAGAGAGGAGGGAGCAATGTTACGCAGCACCCTGCAAGAGCCTGCGGCTATTATAGGAAATGTACAGTTAGAAAACGAAGTGGAATGTTACTCATCGCCCTACAGTGTGCTGCGGTCGTCATAAGTAAAAGTACAAGTAAAAGAAGACAGAATAGTCCAGAAATGTCATTACCCATCAAGAATATTCTAGACGAGAGTTCGAGAAGCAAGCTATATAAGGATGATCCTGACGTCAGTTTTATGATAGATGTTATATGTTAATGTTATCAGTTGAATTGAGTTATTGTAAAAGTTGAATTGAAATAAATTGAGATACCAAAAACCTGCGTAACAATATCTTTTCCAGTAGTGGTCCCTTGTAGCGGCCGTAAAGCCAGTAATTCCTCTATCAATGCAACTTCTTCATCAATACCTCGTATAAAAATAGCTAACTGGGCTGTATCAAATAAATATGTACTCTCATCCAAAGCAATCGAAAATGCTTGAAAACCAGCTAATGTTTCAGTCAATGTTTTTTTGATATCACTAGCCATCATATCTATACGTCGAACAACAGTACGTCGCTCACATTCTCAAACTCTTTCTTCTTTTCTGGGCACAAAAGTTATGCAACGTCTACTAGACATTCATTAACAAACTGTCCCTCAGAAAATGACTTCGATTTTTTCGCTATTTTGGAACTAATTATAACAACACTGTATAGATTTGATCTTTGTGAATGGAAAATTTGTTGCTGTTTCCCTAAATCGGCAGAGTTTTTAAATTTTATCCTTTCTTAACTGGCCCATGTGAATTATATTGAGCAAAATACTTGCTGGAGTAATGCCGCTTCAGATTGTATTCTGTTAAATCAGAAATTGTTTCATTGCACAATAAACACATAGGTTTATCACTGTGCAAGATAAAAAAGTATTCATCATTCCATTTGTCTTGGAATTGACGACATTATGTGTTCACTTTCCACTTTTTTGAACCAGACATGTTTTTGCTTCAATATTTTCCGCGTCGTACTCTCGCTCGTACGTGAATATGCGATGCGAACTTTATCAGTTGTTAAGAAGTAATGAGGTGATTCGCGCTGAGCGATTTATGTACTACCCCCAATAAGCAAATAGAATACTCTCGATCGTACGGAAGCGCTTCAAGCGCATCGTGCGGCTTCTCGAATGTTTATCTGTTTGTTTTTTTCTAACGACTATTTCTGACACGATCTGTGGCGTTCCACAGCGTACGCTTAATAACATTATTTATCGATTTTAGTCATTATGAAGAATACAGTAACGTTCCACAGCGTACGCCTAATACAATTACAAATAAACTATGTGTGCTAACTCTATATTTTTTTGCGCATTATTTGAATTTTCTGAATCTCTCGTGGGTCGGATTGAAGCTGGTGGAGAGATCTGGGCCGGGAGTTGCCCACATATGTACTAAGGTATCCGCTATTCTATTAACATGGTCCAGCCATTTCAGTTTTTCACTTATTAATATTTAGAACAAACTTCTACTAATTTTTCTGAACCTCTTTTATATGTTTATAGGGTGAATTTTAAGTTGATACTTTTTTAACCGCCTATAGAAATAAACCACTTTTTCAAAAAAACTCAAAAATAAGATACAAAATAAAAAAATTAAATTCGGTCCTGGACTTATGGATCAAAAATTATGTTCAATGAGAAATATGTTTGTTTTACCAGTTTCGCCTTTTTTTTAGGTTTTTCTTATGTATGAATCATTCTCAACCGGTTAGTATAATTTAGTCATGTATGTGTTTTCAATAGCGTGTTTATATGTCAATTTTATTTTGTTTAATTATGGCGACTGTCTTCAAAGTGATACATTGGTGTTGTACAGTGAAAGGTTTACCTCGAAAGCCCACCAGTTCCAGAGAAGACATGAAGTGCGTTTGTGTTGAGGTGAATAGACAACACATTATTTAAGTTAGACAAGACCATATTGGATACATTTTGGAATAAATGAGTTTCTTATTTTTGAGTTTTTTTAAGTTATTTGAAAAAGTTGTTAATTTTAATTACTTCTTTACATAGTTAAAATAATTATTAGCAACTTAGGATTCATCCTGCATATGAATCTAGTTAAAAAAAAACATTTATTATGGCGGTTCAGTACACTTTGTGAATTATTTGGTTAAAATCGTATCTCTGGAATGTTATACTTACTTTGTGCATTGTAGGGTTTTGTAATTATTTGTGCGAAAAATCGACAAACGTCCTTGTAGCCAGTTATTAAGATCATTACAATAGATCCGGATGGAGGTAATATAAGTGGATACATCGCTTCAGAAAAAACGGCTTCTTGGTCTGTAGTAAAACCATCTAAAAACAATTCCTTATACACATATATACAGCATTTATTTCACTTCGCTGTAGCACGCAGTGGAATAGTGGTATCTTAAAATTTATTTCAATTTTAGTAAATTAAAAATTGAAAATCATTTTAAAAGCCATGTACATTAAGTTGTCTCCATCTTTATAAAAAGTAATATAAAGCAACTATTGCATGTATTTTTTACTCTCTTTGTCTCCATCATTTCTTTAAGTTTGTTTTAGGTGCCTTAGGGATTTTTTATGTTTTAATACAAATATTTTTTGTTCTGTGTTCTGATTTAAATGTATTATGTTGAAGGATCTTTAACAATTAGAATCAAGTAGAAATAAGAAAAACACAAAGTCTGTCAACCACAGGATCTTAGGTTTTTTTTCAGAATATGATAAAGCTGGCAAGTACTTTCGACCTTATAAGGCCATCTTCAGGTAAATTAAATGTTAGTGCACAATCATTATAAGAATCTATAGACTTTGATATAAAGGTTATAAAAAGGTGTAAAAATGTAAAAAATAAATAAAGATGTGGTCCAATAGGTATGGATTAGTGATAACTTTAAATTTGGTCTGCCTCTATCGTATAAAGGTGATAAAGAAATTTAAACATAATTTATTTAAACAAGGTGAAATTTCACAGGTAAGTTGATAACTCACTGTAAAAGGCATATATGTATTAATTTTAAAATTATAACTGCTCCGTCTATTCCAAGTAATAAAAGGGTATTTGTAGATATTATAATAAATGAAAATTGAATGGCATTAAAAGTAACAATTTGGTGCTTAAACAGAGGAGGGAAATTGGAAATCTTGATTCGACTTCTTGTTCCAATGGAAACGAAAGAGGAAGGGTGTTCAAGCCTTAATTCAATACTATTTGCGGGACTTAAAAGGTGAAGAATCAGAAGATATGGGAATTAATGTCTGGCACTATCACTGACTAGATATTATTTAGAGCTACGTTTCCTCAAAATTAATGTATCACTGTAAGTCAGAGACGATATGAAGCGGCAGGTACACAAAAGAGAGACAATCCAGAAATTCAACCTGGAACTAGAAAACGTTTTGTTTTTAACTCATAATTTTGTCTGTCTAGGCCAGGGATTCCCAAAGTGGTCGATACCGACCCCCTTGGGGTCGAAATCGGTTTCCCAGAGGTCGACATAAACTCAAAATCGACAACTATTAATTAACACAAGATCTTACTTAAAACTTTCAAGTCGATAAGCGTGCACAAGTTCGTACAAGATGAAAAGCTCAGCAAGTCAATAAGCGTAGACAACTATGCAAGATAATGAGTTCGAGTGTACAAGTCTTTCAGGAACGTTTTGACTTGCTCTGTATTTAATGGATATACGCGATTTAACACGAACGAAATCATGATCAAGTTTAAGTCCAAACATGCTCCTGATATTTTACTATATAACAAGCTTGGTACTTAACTTGAAAGTTTATTTGCGTTTTGAAATTCGTTGGAGCTTGAATGATAATACACTCATCTACTTATTTATTGCAAGAGAGTACAAAGTGATTACATTGTTAAATAAAGTGAATTGAAAAAGAATTTACATAGTACTTAGTTACCTACGCGCGTTGATAGCATAACCATACATTTCTGCAGTTTATGAAAAAGTACCAAGAAACTTTTTAATATTTTAGTTATTTAGTATTTTTACTTTCCTATCTGTATAGAGATAAGGAAAGCATAGGAATCATGATTTTTTTTTACCTCGGGTTTTCGACAGATTTTTACGTTTTGGGGTCCCCTGCATCCGTTTTGACTATTTTCGTGAGTGTGTGTGTATACTCGATAACTCATGAACGGATACAAAGAAAAACACCAAATTTTAAACTTAAGCTTTATGCCGGCCTCCAGTAAACTGATTAGATTTTGGACAGAGACGGAACATCTGGGGAAGTACTTTATGGGTTGTCATTTTTATATTTTATGGAATATATCTGTTATTTACGTTTGAAGAAGAAAATTCTTCAAATAAAAGTTACTTACAATATTATTACCTATAATTTTTGATCTGTACAAAATTTTCCTAAAATGGACCGTATTCGAGAAAGACAAAATATAAAAAAATATTTTTTTATAAAAATTGTTCAAATAAAAGTTGTTTATAATTTTTATCCTTTACATAATTTCTCTAAAATGGACCGAATTCGAGATATTTAGGAAAATGTGTAAATTTAGAATTTTGAAGAAAACTCAAAAACGGATAAACATTAAAACATTAAATTTTAAACTTAAGTTTTATTTCGGCCTGAGGTAAAATGAATAGATTTTGGACAAAGTCGGAACATCTGGGGGGTACTTTATAGGAGGTCGTTTTTTATATTTGATGGAATATATGTTATTTATGTTTGGAGAAGAAAATTGATTAAATAAAAGTTACTTTTAATATTATTGTCTATAATTTTTGCTCAATGCCAAATTTTACTGAAATGGTCCGCATTCGAGAAATTTAACAAAAAGTGCAAATTTCTGATTTTTAAGAAAATTGTTAAACTAAAAGTTGTTTGCAATATGGATCTCTATAATTTTTTGTTTTTTACATTTTTTAAAATGGACCGTAATGGAAAAATTGGAGGAAAAGTGCTAAATTTTAATTTTTCAGTAATTTCGTAATATAATATTCGTAATGTATATATTTAGTTTATCCTCTAAACATTTATAGAGGTGCTGCAATAGGTTGTACAAAATAACCGGAAAAAGCTTATAATAACTAGATAGGAAAGTCATGTGTTGGACACATCAGATTTTTTGAAATTACTTGAAAATTATAAATGTTTAGCTTTCTTTGTTTTCGTTTTTTTAAGCCGATTGGTACCTAATATAAATTTTCTATACTACAGTGACTATATCCAAGTTTATCAATGAGTAGGTTCGTGAGCATACCTAAAAAACATACAGTGCCTAGTTGTGATAAAAATAAGATCGTGTGCAAATTTAATAGTTTTATTATTGTTTTTAAGTAGTTTCTTAATCATATTTTTTTTTTATTTGCAGATTCACTGCAAGTTTTATGATGACAGACACAAAAAATGCAGACAATACAGTTTGGACTACTTGAAGTTTGGATTTATTCCTTATCTATCAAATCAACACTTGCCGATGTATTTCATATGTGAAAAAGTATTCAGTAACTATACTATGAAGCCTTCAATATCGAGAGTACATGCTCACAAAAAAGTAAACCCTTGTCATTCTTTTAAGCACTTAAAAAAAAAGCTAGAGAAAATGCCATCCATAAGATCGATGTTTGCGTCATTAACTATGCAAGATTTTGATGGTTTACGAGCGTCCTATATCTTTAGTAATAGCGAAGTCGGGGAAACCCCACACAATTGGAGAACAGCTTATGTTAACAGCCATTGCGGAGGTCCTCAACAATGTATTTCACAAGCCCGCACATATTATAAAAATAATTCCTTTGAGCAATAACACCGTTCAGAGACGAATATACGAGACGTGGAAAACATTTTATGCAGTTTCTTACAGACCAGTCTATTACTCGACAATAAAGCTCTGTTGTTAAGATATGTTCCATGTATTAAAGATGAAAATATGTGCCAAGAACTGCTTTTTGCTACATATTTAGAAACTGATACCAGAAGAGAATCGATTTTTCAGGTCGCGGAACGTTTTTTTATCGACAAAGCTATTCCGTAGAAGAACATTGTTTCTGTTGCGACTGATGGTGCACCATCTATGGTTGATCGTTGTCGTGGTTTTATAGTTCACTTAAAGCAAAGAGTATAGTTAATACAAGAGATCGCACTCAAATGTCAATAGATCTGAAAGTATGTGACCTTGAAAATTTAAAATATTTTACGCGGATAAATGTATCTAATCTAATATAACCTAGCTTTCTGATCATTTCTCTTTTTTGGTGCAAACATTGATTTATAATCGAATTTTATTATAGATTTGTATTTCTTAAGGGGGAGGGGGGAGTAAGGTAAATTCGTGCAAAAAAGGAACATTTTTGTATTTTTTTTTTGACTACACAGTTAAAATCTGTTTATTTACACTAATGGTACATTAAAGTATAACATTCAAAGAATATTGTTCAAATTTTCATGTAAATATTAAAAAATACGAAAATGGCAGCAATTTTTTGGAAGCGTCTCGGAAAAAAGTAGAATTGCCGTGCCCCTCCTAACTCGGTGCTGGATCATCAGAAATAAAAAAATCAAAGTTCTTTAGTTAGATAATCGTTTTCCCCAGGTAATGCTGGGAGGGTTTTTCGAAATTTCAATTTTTCATTTTTTGAGAAAACTTTGAAGAAAAAAAAACGCGATTCTTGCGAAGAAAATAGGCTAATTTATTATAAAATAAAAAAAATATTACCAAAATTGAAAAAGTGCTCAAAATTTCAAAAGGATAGGTGCAGTAGTTTTGAAGTTATGAGGGAGTAGTGGGAAAACGCTTTCAAGTTTTAAAAGATAAAAAAATTTAAACAAAACGTTCATAAGTGAATTTTATCAGCTTATCTCACACTGAATCATCGATGCCAGGTCCATACAGGATGTTGCTATCATCCATGATGTCTAAGGCATATTTTTGCTCCTATCTATGACGAATCCTCATTCACGAGCGCTTGATCCACTGTTGATTTCCATGTCTTGCATGGGGGTTAGTAAAGCAAAAGAACCTGCCAGGCCAATGCTACACTAAATTATATACAGTACAGGTATGATATTTAAAAAAGTACTTAATAAACCACGTATTTATCATTAAACTTTAGTCGTAGATTTATGTTTAACTACAAAACTGTTTGCCTAATCATTTTTCTGCAAAACTATGATGAAAAATTTATTAAATGTGAATTTCTTTGAAGTTGCTTTTCTTTTAAGCATTCATTCCCTTTCTTAAACATCGACCTAATAACAATACAACCACTTGGATTAAAATATGACCTTAATTTCATTGACATGGTCATCGAAACTTCTATCAAACGTGTTCAGTATGTTTAATTAGCTCCGGACCCAACAAATATCTAACGTTAAAAGTGTGATCTCTTCTGGATACAAAATTGACAAAACACCAGACTAATATTAATTAAGTAGTATGATTAGGCTAAATTGACAAGAAAAATGTTGGGCAAAAACAAATACAAATCTTCTCATGCTTAATTCAGTTTTTTCATTAAAGGGCAGAAGATTGCCAAAAAATATCGCCAAAAAGTTATTCCCAATGTTCCTTGTTTTATGCCTTAAAAAAATATTGATTTGATTTAAAAACAATAATGTAACTCGAATTTATTAATAAAATTAAGTATCCAAATTTAATTACAAATTAAATTTAAAAATATCAAAATAATAAGAATGTTTTATATAAGTCAATGATCAAAAAAATTAAAAGAAAGTGAAAAATTAGTAAAGAAAAGGAATGAGAAAAAAGGTCGATAATATACAAAAATTTAATGAAAATATAAAAAATACATGAAATTATTTCAATTTATAAATTATCGATACTTAATGAACATTTCTATAGGCTCTAGATATAGGATTATTTTAAACTTTGATAAATATTTAACAAAAATTAAACAACTAATCCAAAAAAAAGAATGAGTCATTGAGTGCAAAACTGGTATAAGTTTGATATTTCGATTTTGGATAAGTACTATTATAAAAATAAATAAAACGCCATTTTGTGTATATGAAATACATGTGTCCTCAAGTAATAATATTTACTTCAAGATCGCACAACGTTTAATAGTTTGATTTTTTACTCACACCACTTGCACTCAGTGCTTCAATTATAAAGATTCGAGCAAATAAATAATATTCCACAATTATTATTATTATTATCATCATCATAATATATTACCTTTTGATAAAGGAACATGTTCAAGTTTGCAATTTTTTCCCTTAAAACAAGTACCATCACTTTTCGTAAATTTGCATATTCGTGCTTCATCTCTCGGATCATAACCTATGATTGCTTCATTAATATTATCTACTTCTAAGGTGTCAATATCACCTAGAAATTCCTCTAATTCCATGTTGTTTTCATCATCTAAAAGTGATTTACAAAACAATCTTATTATATTGCAATACAGGGTGATACTTTTTTTAATTTTGTGTAGAAGTCATTAAAATAAACAATTTTAAAAAACTCCCGCATTTTCCGACTAATTTGGATTTTTTAATTCTATACCTTTATGTCTTCCTTTATTGCTTGGCTAACGATATCACCAGACCTAAATCTTTGTTTTCTAAAGTAATTTGAAAAAGTTTATTAACTTAGGAATCATTCAGTCCTCAAAAAAAAGTTTATAACTATTAGAGAGCATTACGAAAAAAGTTAACTAATTATAACATCTAAACCTTCTTAAATTACACAATATTTTTATATTTTCAGGATTTTAAGATTATTTAGAGCAGAGCATAAATGTATATAATTTAAATACTTAGTACTCACAGTTTTCAAGAATTTGAACACCTAAGCCAATATTCATCAAGATCTCGCCCAAGGTACTTCCTTCCGGCCCTTCTTCATCAATAAATAAATCAACAGCTAAGGAGTTTCTGAAAAGAATCAAAAGAGTATAATTTTAACTATAAACGAGTTTCCTAAGTCAATTTAATAATGTTTATGGAAAGGAGCACTGGATTTCCGCAAAGAGTACTTAGGTATTTAAAAGTTTTCGAAAAACAGGAAAACCCATAGAAATAGTTTATTTACAGGGAATGCTAAGCGAACTGAATGTGGAATGTGGCACAATTGACATTTTCAATGATAACCAAGGAGCTAGTAAGTTAGCTTATAATCCAATATTTCACAAGCGTACAAAGCATATATTTATCAAGTATCACTACATCAGAGAACTCGTGGAGAAAAAGAAGGTTGAGATCAAATATTTGTCAAGAGAGGAAATGCCAGCTCTGACATTATGACGAAGTCACTCTTCAAGCCAAAGCATTTATTTTGTGTAAATTAACTTGGTTTGGAAAGGTTGTAGTTTCTTTTTTGTAATCAGTCATTAGCTTAAGGGAGGGTGTTATAGCTATCTAATCTAATGACTAATTACCACTCTTTGTGTTTTATTCGTTTACTTGATATAAATAATTGTCATTGTATTGATTAATTTTTAGTAATAAAAAATATAATACTGCCACGAAAATCAAATCTATTTTATTTTGTTCTGGTTTATGATACATATAAAACTAAATATTGCTTAAATCTGCGTAGCTGCAACAAGTAGTTTTTGAAATCCGTTTTCTTGACTGGCGTTCGATGAACATTCGTTTTTTAAAACTTGTACGTTTTTAACAAGCAAATAATATGTCTGGCATCACTGTAAACTGTCTATATCGTTGAATTCAAGTAATGTGCAGGCCATAAAAAAATAAAGATATGTGATTTAATCACAACAAACCAATTGTACGATGATGATTTTTTTCTAATATACATATCGTTAATTTTTGGCGAAAAAATAGCTATATACAGGTGCAGTCAATGCAACCTATAGTTCCAGGAAAATCGTACGTCATAAAAAACCTAGTTTTCAGGGTACAAAATTAATTTAAATAATAACTTTGCTTATCTCATCAGTTCTTTAATATTTTGTGACAATTTTACAAAATCGTTAAAATGTCTGGAAACAACGTGTGATACAGAAGAACTTTCAACTACCACTTGCAAGAAACCGCAAGCAAGTTAATAAAACAAACATGAATTAATAATTAAATTCTTACACGGTAAGATATAAAAAAATATATAAATATAAAAACAGATTGTGCCTCTGCATGTCTGAATCTTTGAGGATTCTTATCTTCCGAGTTTTCTAATTGTACAATTAATAATAATTGAAAAAAATTAAGACTTTTTAGTACAGCAAACCATATTTATAAGAAATTAGATACTTTTGTAGGTATTAACAAAAAGTAGTTTACCTAGAATTTGTTAAAATCATCGAGATAGAATAAAGTAGAGACGACATAAACACTATTTTGCGATATGACAAATGGACGCACTTCAAGTGACGGAAAAGTATAATAAAAATGGCGACTTGAGTCGTACTTTGATTTATTTGAAGTCAATAATTTTATATTTGAAGACTGACGGAATGAAAATGATTTTTTGTATAAGAATAATTTTTTGACCATAGCAGAATTTTATATAAATAAAAATTTCCTTGGTTTATTCGGTCTTTATCATTTTCAATTGTTTAGCACATTACATATGTTTCGGAAAACTTTGACGATGAAACAGAAAGAAGAGGTTTCTGTTATTTTAAAAATGTTTTAATTTGTTTGTAATCGCCCCCATGTTTTAATAATTTATGACTGCACCTGAAGAAGTTTTCCGAAACATATGTAGTGTGCTAAACAATTGAAAATAATAAAAAAAAAACAAAGACCGAATAAATTTTTATTTATATAAAAGAAAATGATTTTATATTATTTATATGAAGCTATTTAAAGAAAAATTGCATTTATCACCAAAACTGACCAGGTACACTATCTCGAGTTTGACATTGACGTAAAAATGTAATGCAAAGGTATTCTCAATGGATAAAATCAATCAATATTATTAATCATCCTATAAGTGTAATTGGCTAAATCCTTGAAAACTAGCACGTTTTATCAAAAACGTGTGAAAAATTCCGCTAGCTATAAAACAACCGTTTTAAAAACGTACACGCTTTTAAAACGGATGTCGAGAATAGCGAATAGCTCGCATGTTGCTAAAGCGTATACGTTTATTAGTAAACGATAGCCAAGGATAGGGCCCCATGTATTCCAACGACTTGTCAAATAATAGCTACCAGTGGGAAGGTCTCGTATATCTAAGGGGGTAGCAACATAGTCTTGAATCTTTGACGCTATTTTTATTCGAAATAGTAGTTGCCAAGCCTGCCAATTTATGAAAAATGTATAAGCAATATTTTTTTAAATAATATTTTTATTGTGCTCGGCATGAAATATTTAAACGTAATCCATTATTCATGATTTTACGTATTGTACATAGAATACATCGTATGTCGCAACCCTTAGATGTACCAAACCTTCCCACTGGCAAATCGTTTGGAATGTCTTATAGATACTATGCATAATTTCGTTTTGTACATTTTGTAAACAAAATTCAGGGACAATTTAAGAACATTTTGTGCAACAATTATAAAATAGTGCATCGGAAAATAATTAACAGATATAATTTAATTCTAAATCGAAATCAAGGCACAAAAAAACACAAATATAAGCAAGGCAATAAAGAACCAACGCCAAAAAAGCTTACAACAGCCACAACACAAACAAAGCTGAACATGAATATAATAGCTGAACAAAGCCAACCTCTCCTTGTCATTTTCGTGTGTAAGAGTGGAAAATTGAATTATGCATAATTTCTACACTGCGCAGACGGTACCTTATCATTCTACCCTCTCTACTTCTTTGGGTCCAACGCGCCAACCACTTCGCCATAGGACGCGCGAAACATCCTCAGCCTTTTTTAACTATGATTTTTTGTTGTTAGTATTTAGTCTAAAAATATTATAAAATATTTAGTATAAAAGTACTAACAATGAAAAGTATAGTTAATATAAAGGCTGAGGAAGTTTCGCGTGATTTGTAACCACAGGTCCTCTGGCGCAGTAGTTAGTACGTTGACCAGAAATCCAAAGGTATTGGACTCGAATACCGACAAAGAAGAAATATTTTTTCACAAAAATGCCACAAAATTAATTCCTTTATATTTATAATGTATTACGAATCCTAACCTACTTTCTCTTTGTAATAACACGATTTATTTCTTTTTTTATTTTGAATTTATGTAGTTTTAGTGAAATTTAATTTACATCTTTTGATTAACAAAGGAAATATTTTACTCTTTGAAAGGTAAATATACATCTGCATTACAAAAACACTGTGCATGATTGCCAAAGAACCATCACAAAACAAGTCCTCTTATTTCAGTTGCGCTTTGCTGTTGCTTAGCAGCGTAAACTTTATTAAGGTGCCTTTACACGAACACAAGAAGTCACTTTAAAAAAATTAAGATTACGTTTTACATTTTGTATACAAATATGTATACATATGTATACAAACAACAATTTAGTTAGTGTTTTTAAAGATAATCCAAAACAGGTGCAAATTCTTTGCTAAAAAAATATATTATAAAAGGCACAGAAAATATTTATTGGATAACTCGTAATTTTTTTTAATCAATATTATTTTCTTCACAACTGAACTCTGATTCAGACTCATCACTACTTGCCGATAAGTCATTGTAAGTCATCATTGAGGTCTGAAATCTAACTCTCAGAACTGTCGCCAAAATTTACTCTTATGAGTTCAACAATGTTGTCTTGGAGATTATCAGCGACCCACATTTCTTTTTCGTTGTTTCTCTGACAAGTGCAACAAGTTAAACTAATCATTTGATCCCTTTGAAATTTAATTTTTTAAAACTTTCATCCTTTATAAAGCTCCACCATTTTTTTTTTTTCGATTATTTCAAAAACTATGGTCTCTATAATAGTTTTCCAGAATCCATGTTCTGGTGTCAGTTTCAATAAAATAATTAAAAAACTTTCTAAAAAAATGGTAAAAAATGTCTATCGTTTTCAAAATATTTTATAAGTTAAACTAATCATTTTATCCCTTTGAAATTTAAATTTTTAAAACTTTCATCTATTATGAAGCTTCCCCCAAATTTGTTTTTCGATATTTCAAAAACTATGTTCACTATGGTCTATATGATGTTTTTCCGAACTCTTGTTCTGGTCAGTTTCAATAAAATAACAAAAAAGTCTAAAAAAATGTTCAAAAATGTTTATCGTTTTCAAAATATTGCCTTAAGGCAGGAGTTGAGAAGACACCAAATAACAAGTGAGAATCGTTACATATCTTAGAAACCAACCTCGTTCAATTACTGTTTAATAAAGTATTTAACTCAAAACTATTTTCTCTAAATACGGTTTCCGCTAACGAAAGTCAGGTCAAAGCGTAGAGTGGATATAAACCATCGATGCCAAGTTGTATTAAATTTCCGACATTATGTTTGCTTTTTTGTATAAATAGAAATAGGTATGATTGACAGGAAATTTTAAAAATAATGAAAATATTATTTCAGAATTAAGCGTAAATAGTTCAAAAAACGAACACCTACAATTTCAAATACAATAATAAATAATAAAGGGATTGATTAGAGAATACTACATTTGTTTTTATACATAGGTAATTATTTATTGGAAAGTTTTGTGAAGACTGACTTTGTTACCGTATGTTCCGTTTCGTGTTATTTTTAAAACATGATCTACAAAAATTCAGTTATTCAGTGTGATACAAGCAAACCCCTCGAATTGTATAGTATTGTATAGTATATTTCTACAAATTACTAAAGAAAATCTACAACGTTCTTAAAACGTTATTTAAAGGTTATTACTATTTTAAAAATAATTACCTAACACAAAGATTATTTCTGGAGTGTACCAAATTATAAATTAAACTTGAAAAAAAAAAAATTCTACCCGAATTTGAACATCGGACCTTTCGTACGAAAACTCAACCTTTAAACTTTCGCG